GCGAAAGGACACGATGCATTGTGCAGTTCTACTCTATGAACGGAAAATAATGACTCAATGACTGGAAGAAGGTAATGACCTGGTGAATATTTGATGAATGATATTAAGAATTGGTAAAATGGTGTAAAATGATAATATGGTGTAAAATGGTAATATGGTGTAAAATGGTAATATCCTTTGTCGCGTGGATAGTCATGACCGAAAATTCGGCATGAAATGTCGCTCAGACTTTTGAATTCGTGTCATCTTTCTAAAGGGCAGCTGACATTTATTGCTGTTCCTAACTTTGAGGAAACTCACGTTTGTATATGAAGCTTCAATGATAACTGGTTAAGCGACAGATATTGGTCTCTGTTTGAATCAGACAGTTCCTTAACCATCTTCAAATGGCTTTTCTAGGTTATTGAACATTTTAACTGGTCCATAGAAGACAAGTTGGATTGTTTTTCAATTTGCCAACAGTTTTTGCTTAACTTGTGCAAAAACTAGTAGAAGGGTCAAAAAACAAAGTTTATGCTCAGCTGCTTCGATGTTCATACTTCATATGACAAAACTTCATAAGGATTATTTTTTGCCAAACAGACAAAACTTTTCCATTACCAGTCTTCTTGACATAATTTAAGCGCTTTTATAATTTATCAACCGAATTGCTGAAGCCAGTTGCTAGTCCCGCATTTTCTCGTCACGCAGTTATTAGATTGGAATTTAAAAGACTCACAATGCAATATATCATCTGCTGCTGTTCATTTTTTTAACATTTTTTACATCATTATGATAGAGAAAGTGTCTAATCTAAATGATTCTCCTGATTGTATTGACGTTAATAAATCGGCTGACTTATTGTTTAAGAAGGAATCAGAGTTTCGAACTCGGTGACTGAATGATAACAAGTTTTAACTTTCATCAAACAGTCAACAGCTGAAGATGCTCACTGGCGAACCGCTTTTTTTGGCAGCTGTACTTTTACAGGCCGTAGGCATCAAATCGATTACGTGCGAGATAGTTTCCCTTCGCATATTCTGCAATAAAGTTTACTCATACCAGTGTTCCCAGCAGTTTAAACAAGTTCGGACATGAACTCGTTCGAAACCATATATTCCATGAGGCATTCGGTTATTGATGAATAGCATAGGCAAGATGATTGTCAGGCACAATCCAGGTGACGAGATTATGAGAGTAGAAAATGTCAAGATTAGAGTCAACTGCCAACTGCAGAAGATCCTGTTTTGTTGGCATTTTTTGAAAGTGATTTCAAAAACAGCCTGAACAGGATCGCAGCTGAATGTGATGCATGTGAACGTGCTTACAGCCAAAAAAATTGCGCCTTTTCGTCTCCCAGCCAGCGGCACCGTAAAGGTCAGCGGGGAAGCAGTAGAAGAGTAAAAAAATTCGCGCATTCACTGGTGATGGAAGATTGGATAAAAAAATCGACCGGCGACGTGGCATGGCCAGCGGCGTTCTGTACGAACTAGTCTGAAGCGTTGTTACTAAAGCAGAGCCTAGTCTGAATGCAAACCTATCTGTATTCAAGTCGATTTTCATCCCTCCTCATATTCACTTACGGTCTACCCTTGTGTCGTGGACCATGACTGAAAAATTTCAATTCGGGGTATAAGTGATTGAAATGGGCTTTCTGAGACGAATCGTTGGATCTCAGCCGTCTCAACGCGATCTGGAGTTAAATCGGATAAGGCCTTCGTGAACAGCCGCTGTTTCTCCGTACTAAGCAGTCACAACTACTGGTTTTGGCAGGTTTTGCGAATGCTTCCAAAAAGGAAGACAAAACAGCTACAACTTACTAACCAGCCGGGTGAAGACCTCAGGGAAGGCCAAGAATGACCTGGACAACTGTCTTGAAGGACTCTGTTCCAGACTCGGGTTACATTCTGCCGAAGTTCAGATGGTGACACAGGATTGTAACCATCATAAACGAAGACGCTGCCTGACGCCGCTGCCTCGCAACTCAAAGGGATTAGCGATGATCAGAACTGACTTACTTAAGTGATAACGTAACTGCACTTTTATCACTACTCTGCAATGACAATAGCCAATGTATCTGTTTAATGAGGCATTATCATTCCTTATATTGCCCTCAACAAATTTGCGACACAAATGGACAATGTTCATAAAACGTTTTCTGGAAATTTCTATTGACCTTTGGTCCCATTTCGAAAAGTTGTGAGTGTAATTTAGTGGCCTTTAACTCCTGCACATGGGTGATACACGTACGTGTTCGTTGAGCTGTAACTGATATTTCGACAAGGCAATGATATTTCGCTGCCAGACCAGCGCGTCTACTGACTGTGGAGAAGAGACCAATACCCGAATTTCTGAATTAGCTTAAACAGTTCCTGTGACGAATATGAAGTAGCGAGCAATGCGACCGCAGCGCTACAATGCCTGATCGATTTAACAGCTAGCAAAGTAATGAATAGTTGGGATGTCCCATCTGCCGAAAACTTCGACGATTTCTGACACCCTGGAGTTCATGGTGCGGTGCAGATCTCACTCACTGTACCATCAGGCTGGAGTGTGATACTTAGTTTATTCTGAAAGGCATCTACAACTGGGTGGCTATAAAAGAATGGCCTCCTGCTTCATTCCAGATTGTAATCCTCATTCATCTACTGGGAAAGATGAAACGTCAATTATGGATGATGATTTGAATCAAAAGTGATGTTCAGAATTGCCGCGGACTTATAGATAACATCACGCGGGTGTGAGGGAGCATGCCGCAGTTAGACATACGCACCCTCGAACCTCAGAAAACCATAACCGACCCAAGGTCTGCTCGAAGTTGTTTTGATAACGTAAAATCATTTTCGTAGTGTCACAGCTGCGGCTCATTCGAAGGATCGTAAATGTTAATACTTTAGCAATCGGCGCGAGTTAATGGTTGAAGAATGCTTATCAAGAGCGTAGTATGAAAAGAAATCTGGTTATCTTGTAGGTCTATGTGACTGTCTTTCGAGGGGCCTGCCGACAGAACTTCGTTCGGTTTTTTGCTCGAAATTTACTGCCATCGATTTGCTATTTAATTTTCGTACGCTTCTTTCAAATGTGTGAAATAGAAAGTTGTGGATCTTATTCAAGCAGTAAAACTATTAATTACTTACTTAATTGCAATGAACCAGTGTTTCCATATCGGTTCGAAAGTTACCCCATGCTTGATCCGTGCTGGCGAGTTAGGGTTCAGCAATTAAATAAGTCGATCGCCATTAAAATAACCTTTCGATTGTCGCTAATTGCAACGGCGAAATTTATGAATTCTGCGAATGTCATGAAGCAAAGATAAACAAGACACACTTTCAGGTAATGAATTCCGCTTAGAATTTTGATGTCATGAAAGATATCACCACTCCCCCCGCCTACTTTCACTGCCGATGAAAACTCTTGCAAAATTTTTCAGCTGAGCCATCCTCTTTCCGTCTTCTTAATGAGAGTTTCTTGTACACGCAGACATAGACGGGCGGGGTCTATAGGTTTACGCGTATAAACTTTCTTGTCCCTTCTTGAGATCCAAACAAGAAAGATTTGTGGAGGCCATTCTTGTATTTCGTTCCAGCAAGAAGTGATTAAGACAAAGAATAGCTTAAGTTAAGATAAACAGAGATTCATTTATTTAAAACGACTCCAAATGGCACTCCCTGCTTTAAAAATATAGTAGGCACAAGCAGTAATAAAAACTCCCTTGAGAGTTAACTTCACACCGCGCCAAAATATCGACGGTCGCGGGACTCTAAAATGATTCGTTCAGTTACTAATACCAAGAATACGGCCAGTTTACGTTAACAAGTCATGAAGGTTCGTTGGCTGGCCCCAGTAATTCATGATTCCAGGGACATGTCCGATACCAACCACGCTAACCACAACAACCGGTTCGACTTCCAGATCAGCTAAAACATATGGATAGACTAAATACTAATTAAAGACACAGATCCGTAAGCATTAAAAGACAGACAAAAAACGAATACCTACACTTAAA